ACAGTGCAGAGCAGTCTGTTGGTCTGGGACCAGTCAGGGAGCCCAGGTTTTGCCCACTCGTGTTATTGCAGCCAAAAAAGTATTCAGATGTTTTGATCTTTTTCCCAAAGTATTTATAGTAAAACTGCAAAAGAGAAGCTCCTTGGACTTTCTGTTTACATGAGTGTGAAAATGAGGTTTAATGCATTATTGAATCATCTATTGATTTGTTCTCTGTGTTTGGTTTTTTAGCTCTTTTAGCCATAGCAGCCCGGCTTTAGGGATGGCGATGTCACCGCACCACTTTGGTCCAGGCTGAAATATCTCTACAACTATTGGTTGGATTGCCATGAAATTCAGTACATTGATTTTCCTCAGAGAATGAATCCTTACAACTCTGGTGATACTCCTCCTGTAGCCTGCTAACATGCTGAACATTTCGCTCAAAGCAATGCTGTCTCAATCTTGTTAGATTTACTTTGGCACAACCTTAAAACCTGCAATAACTGATTTATTTGGCCACTAGGGGACAGCAGAATCAAGATGTGAACACAACATTGACACATCATCACCTTTTGAGTTCAAATATTTAGCAAACGCTTGTTTATTTACACATATTTCCAGATTTCCACATCATGTTTGTGTCCACCTGTCCACTCTCTTTTAGCTCTGATTTTTGTCTCTATCAACTCCTGAGGGAAATATATGACTCTTGAGCCGCTAAATGCTCCACTGTGTTCACCAGCTGGTCTCTAACTGTGTCTGTACAGGTAGTGGCACAGTGGGTTTTTACAGCTTTTTATCTGATAATGATGATATGAGAGCTGAGAGAGTGAACCAAAATTTGCAGTCAGGCAACTATAAAGCTCAAAGCAGAGCTTCAGATTCAGCTGATAAATCTCTGCAGGTTTGATTAAAGATGATTTAAGTCAATAAAAATTGTTTAGTCAGTATAATGCCACCAGTAAAGTCAATTGAAGGTGTGTTTAAGGGCTGAGGAAACAGCCCGAAGCATTGACTTAAAACACTTCTGATGATGTTTTTGACCACAGCTTCTGACTGTGGTTGCACTGGTTTCACTGGTCAGGTTTGTGTTTCTGTAGGTGAGTCAGAAACACCAGTAAATTGCTCGACAGGCTATTATTTACTCAAGAGCGCAGAATTAATAGACGACGGGTGTGGTGGCATTTCATGTATGCGTGTGTGTGTGCCATTGACTAACTGCTGTTAGCACAGAGGTCGTGTCCCTTTGTTGTTTGTCACGTCTGTTTCCGTTCATTCAGACGTGGAGAGAATCATCCATCACTTTTATTTCCTGAAGCTTTTAGTGTTTATTTATAGTCTTTAAAAAAAAAATCAATGCAACAAAAAGGGATCAACATTGTAAAGTGAATGGAAAATATTGACATCAAGTTAAATGAAATCAGATAGAAAAGTTAAAGTAGGACTGCAGCTAATGATTGTTTTGGTTATTGTTTAATGTACCGATTATTTTCTCGATCAATTCAATTGTTTGGTTTATAAAATGTCAAAAAAAAAAAAATAAAAATCCCCCAAAATGTTTATTCCTGTTTTATATTTATCGATCAAAAATAAAATCTGTATATATATACTTCTTGTTTTATGTTATGTCTTGTGTTAAGTACTATATAAATTAATAATTTGTTTATAAAATAATTGATATATTGAAATATAATTAATAGAAATTCAATTAACACATTTTTAGAGACTTGATAAACTGTGAACTTATGAAAACTATTTAAACAATAATAATAAATTCTACTTGAAGCACCTTTCACATAACCCAAGGACACAAAAAACCTGCAGAAACTACATTAAAACACATAAAATTAATTACAAATGATCACAGTGATTATAGGAATACTTAAAGGGGTCGTAGCAAGTCTTGAACATTTTTAGTTTATGTATTTGTAGTCCCTAGTACCTTATGTGAAATATCACATATTAAAAATAAATGTTTACAAACCTCCTCTAAGTATTGATTGTTCATTGGTCGACTATAAACAAACCCCTTAGCTATAAAACAACAAAGGGATACATTTCGTGACATCTAAAACATCGTAATGAAATGAATGAAACCGCCTCGTTAAACGTTAGCTAACTGACAAAGAGTTGATTCATTTAGGGTCTGTTATTAACATAAATCACATGTGCATAAGAAGCTCCAGTCAATTATGAATCTATCATAACATTCACTTGCAGACAGACGTACCGGATACACTTCCTTGATTCCCAACGGTATGATTTAGAAGATTTCATCTGCTGGTGTTTCTATGTATTGAATATATGATGTGACTCTGTCCCTGTTGGGATGATCTGCTGCTGTGTAGATTTATTTTGAACACACTGAGGAAAGCTGTCTTACCGGAAAACATCTGTGTGGTGAAAGAAAAAAAAAAATTGAATGGAAGTGCTGTCCTAGTTCCTTTATATTTGATTTTTACACATTTAGGATTCAGCATCTGGTCATGTTTTTATGGGAGTTGATGATTGGCCTTATATCATATTAACATACAAATAAAATGAAACATTAGCTAAAGAACAAGTACGGGCGCCTCCATCACTCAGACTGATAACTGAGAGAGGAGAGATGAAGGAGTGGTCTGCCATAATTACCGTATTAATATATATATAATATATATATATATAATAACTGCTCCCAGAGTCTTAAAGTGTGGCATCAGTGGTGTAGTGCAGAGTATCCGCAGATATATGGAGTATATCCACTTCTAAATCTCTGACGCTTATCTTTCAGTAGTGCTGAATGGGTTTTCCTAGGATGGCGAAGGCAATAAAGATTTTTAAGAAATAAAGATGATTGATAAGAAATTACTTACACTCAAAATGGCATAATTTGTCTCCACCTGATACATTTCATAATGCTGTTTTTGCTTCCTGAAGTCAGGCAGCACAAGTTTATGCAAATCCTACTGGCTGTTTTGGGTGAGATGAAGAGTAGTCCTTACATGTCAGTGTTTATAACACAGGAGGTTTGTGCTTTGCTGGGCGGCTTTAAATCCAAATTTTTTAATTGAGAGTATTCCCACTTGTCCAGGCTACCACACAGCGTAACGTAACGACAACGTAACGACCTTTCCTTTCTTTATAGTTTCCTCTTAATTATGTTTGCGTCCATGGAAACGCTGCGGTTGTGTCCTCACACTGGTCCTGTTTTCCGGCTCTGTGTTTTCTCTGCTGACAGCTGTGAGGATGAAATATTAGTATTGAGTCTTATAGAGAATTGAGCCGAAATATTATTGGACCAAATGGAGCCTATTCTGATAGTGGAACCAGTTTTTTTGTTGGGATTAAAGAGAGAAGGCTGTTATACCAGCACATCAATGGCCATGCTGTAGGAGTCACTTGATCAACTATCTACATACTTTTTAACCTTGTAGTTTATTTCCTTCCATTTTAAATCTACATACTCTGGAATGTTTTTTTTATCCTGAGGGTGGCGCTAGAGGAAAGACCATTCACCCCCTGAGGGATCACTGCTCCGTAAATTTCAAGACAATCTGGAACTTTTACTTATATTGTGTGTAAAGTTGTTATTGGGGAGTTGTGAGTTGCTGAAGCAAGATGGTGCCAGATTCTCACCAGGAAACTCAAGTGATTGTTGTGGCACATTTTGTACTAAACTTTAGTTTCTCTCGCTCTCTTTCTACAGATTAGTGGTTGTCTCATCCTCGGCGTCTCCATCTACGTGAAAGTCAGCAAGAATGGAAACCAGGTGAGACTTTTATTAACAGGAATGATGCAGCTTCTTGTTATTGAAAACACATTCNNNTCTTAGTTTCATTAGATATCGTTGACGTATCTTTCTGTTGTCACCAGTGTAAAATACCTATTTCCGTCTCCTCCTGTCTGCAGATCACAGAGGAATCTCTTCCTGGCGTTGACCTGATGATCGCCATCGGAGTGATCATCATGGTGCTCGGCTTCCTGGGCTGCTGTGGAGCCATCAGAGAGAACCGCTGCATGCTGCTGCTGGTGGGAATCATCACATTATTCCTTCAAGATTATTTAACTGAATATTTTCTGACTCTAGAAAGAAAATAGACTTACTTTGTTGTTTTGTTTATGTGAATGACCCCCACAATTGATTCACATTAGACCCCCCAAGTTTGAGAGGATTTTGTCTTTTAAGTATTTTTTATTTTAGGTTTGAGGATAATGAGAAAATCAGCAAGCAAAACTTTATTTATAAAGCACATTTGTGGGTTGCAGCCACAAGGATTTTGTAGATAATACATTAAGCATGAATAAACACAACTAAAACAGATGCATAAATAATACAGGATAAAGTTATAGTTGAAATTTAAATTAAAAAGATATACCTGTACATCTTTGGATGGTTTAAACAATCAAGTAAACATATTTTACAAGATGATTGTATGTTTTGTTTGATCTGTAAAGTAACTATCAGATAAATGAAGTGATGTAAAAAAGTCCAATATTACCCTTTGAGCTTGACTTGTGGAAGTGTAAAGTAGCATAAAATGGAAAAACAACAACATAACAGTTAAAATCGTATAATTAAAAACGTAATTAAAACAAAATACATTGAGATGATAGACCAGCAGTAAAAACCATTAAAAAGGAAGAATAAGAAAATAAAATACTATATACTGTATATAATAAAACATAGGATCAACTGGGATCACAATAAATTACAATCCCTGTTTTGTCTATATTAATGAATATAATATAATAATATAATATTTGATAATGTGTTAAAATATATAT